TAACCCCGACAATAGTTTTTCTAAATTTGGTCCTTTTCTCCCCCAATCCACTAGAAAACTTTAGATATCGGGCTTCCCCTTGCGTGGACCTATCGATAAATCCATCAGTGAGGCTAGTTCATCGCTCGAAGGACATGGAAAAGATGCTAGACACATGGGGTCAGAGCTATGCAACATGTGTGTGTGTGTGTGGGGGGGGGGGGGGTGTTGTGACCCTAGGGTTTCCCCATCGCCGCCTCCCGCCACCCCAGCCGTTACTCTACCTCTACAATTGCCTCCACCCACACCTCCCTTGACCCTCATGCAACATCCGCACTATTGCTTTCATGGTCGGGCAGCTCGATATGACGACCAACATCTGTTGTATTCCATCCTCCACACTGTGTGCTACTATTACTTCTACCCACATCCTCGCCGTGGCTAGAGTAGTGGCCACGTCATCACCGAGGATCCCTTCCGTCCATCATGGGGAACAAACCCAAATGGTTCCTCTATGACCCAGGCGGGGTGCTTTTTGCTTCATTTGCCGTCACCCGTCAGTGTTCTCTCCCCCACAACAACCGCTTACTTCTTCTCGCCTCGTTGTCGCCGATGAGTGAGGTGGTGGCCTCACCGTCGCGCCTCCTCCGTGCCTTGACATTTTGGAGAGGGAGCAAGAGGTAGTTGTGTCTTTGTCATCGAATGGGACACCCTCGATCAACATTCAATTGGCAATCCCCAAGGAGGTCATTCTTTAGCTGCGAGTGGTTGAAGCTCACACTTCGCTATACGGTGATGATTGAGGTCGAGGTGGTTCTTCTGATGGCTTCGACTACTCCTCCACCTTCATTTGTGATGATTCAAGAATCAAGATGGTTTGGGTTGTCTGATCACTAACAATGAAGGTGATGTGCCGTTGTCGTTTCTACTTCAAGTATTTCCTCCTTTGCCCTCTCGTTCCCACTACCGTCGGTTCCTTTCGCCTGTAGTTCAGCTGGAAATCACAAAAGGATGTGATGTTTCGTCTTGAGTTGGCGCAAGATATGGGAGAAATCTATATGATGATGAGCTTCTAAATGATCCAATGTTGCTTTTTCTCAGCCTAGAAATGGAAGCCAAGTCTTCTTTGGTAGTTACTCCATGTCTTGCTTGTAAAAGCCCTTCTGATGGCTTGCTTCATGCCTCTACCTCAATTATCAAATGTTGATTCTCTATCACCTTTGGTTGTCGATGAGATGCCCTCACTAATTATTTCCATCTTTCCACCGCTGACGGTTGCCATGGTTGGATCCTCTTTTTTTGGTAGATGGACACACTAGTGTGGCATGAGAAGATACCTCCCAAATGCTTGGTAATAGATTGTGGAGCTACTGCACTTCCCCTGCTCTAGCGCCGCCACTTCCTAGTCTTGAACCTCAAATGGAAAAGAGGGATTTCATAGATTTAAACTCAAAGAAGAGGATGGATTATCTTCCTTGAGTGTTGCAGGGATTTGTGTTGGTCTTTGTAGGCTTACAAAGACCATGCATCGTAACTCTGTTTTCCTCTTAATAAAAAAAGACCATGCATTGTAACTTTTTCTTTCTTAATGAAAAATGTGCTTAGCCACGGCCATGAAAAAAAGTGCAAGGTGCAATAAAAGGATTAAGCCCATATGAAAATCGTAAACATTGCATCTTCTTAAATGCGTGGCTAATGTGTGCACCTGTTGTGAGGTTAAGAAAGGTGGAACTCAAGCCCACCACCCCCTTGAGCGTTGTGGGAGGAGCTTAGGCATTGGTGGCGGTAGTGAAAGTGCAAACTGTAGTTCAGTCGTGTTATAAGAGGACACAACTACCGAACCGTAGAATCCTTCCATTTTACCACTCATGAAAGGGAGAAGAGTTGGAGTACTAGGAAGAGAGTGATGGTCTAAGACTCTAAGAGGGCTAAGACTATGAGTGGCGGACTAAGTGGGGACAGAATAAAAAAGAAAAAGAAATTTTCACGCTCTTTAATATATTATGTATTATATATAGATATAAAAAACTAAAATGTAGACGTACCGATGTGTAAAGAAAACAACGGCACTACATACTATAAACAAAAGGTAAATAAAAAAGAAAATACTGAAGAAAATGGAGCGTAACGAAGAGGGCGGAAATGTAAGTCATGGCCATGGATGAAAGGTCCGGTCGTAGTCGCCTGTGATGCGGCGGGCAAATTACACGGGCGCGTGGTGGCCGTCATGATCGTCTGATAGCTCCACTGAATCGGCCGTGCAGCCTCAGATACAATCGTACCGCAGCGCCCATGCTCTCCAGCTTGTTGGACATCGTTGTTACCAGCCCAAACCATCGTCATCTCGTCGGCTCGCAAGGTCATTATTAGTGCGCAAATCCTCCAATTAGATTAGCTAGATAGCCTAAGAACCATTTTTTTTATAATCTGTAAAGAGGCTTTTCCGTTCCGGTGGAAGTTCACAATTTGGCATGCAAGTGGCTCTCACTTGGATGGAAAGACGATGACTTCATAAAGCACCACCAGCAGCCGCAGTAGCAGTAGCAGCGCTTGCTTGTGCGTGCTTTGCTGCTGGCTAGCTAATTGCATTGCTGTTTGGGTGGATCCATCAATCATGCATGCACTAACGCCCGCATATCTTTAGCTAGCCTTCCTGATCCCCGAAATCGCCAACCACTAGGCGTCCGGATCGCCAAATTGAAGGGAAAAAGGCCTGGCCACACCGGCACAGGACGTCGTCGTCCTCGATCGGTCCTCCATCCTCCTCGAGCTCGCGGCGCACCTGACGACCACCGTGTCTGCTTGACATGGATGTCAGTCGCGAGAAGCGAGGAACGCCGACAGTGAGCTCTGGCGAGCGCCGAGGGCGAACGAGAACACAAGAGCAAACAACTCAACGCGAAGTCTGGACACAGGTTTTGGTGCTGCAAAGCGCAGCGTTTTCTGATGCATTGTATTCTATTTATTGGAAGCAAAAGAAGATCATGCCGAGCAAAGCGCGCACGACGCAAGGAGTGTGCGCGTCCATCCCCACGCACTGCATCGCCGGCCATTGCTGCATGCTCCAGTTCGTGGCTGAGCGAGTCCCAGGCCACGACGTCCTAAGCGCGCGGAGTCCACAAGCCGGATCCTGCGCGCATGCTGCTGGATAAGGGAAACATGCAAACTAACTATATTTAGCACATAGGAGTATCTAACAATGGAGAGCCACTGCGGCAAGCCTGCAACTTCCCGGATGGTAAAATGGCGAGGCTGTCACTGTTATCAGCGAGTATGGAGAGCAACCACTGTCTGGGGCTTTGAACTTGTGATGATGTCGTAAGCGAAACTGCTGCAGCAATAATAGAGCAGCAGGCGATCAGTGTAAGCTCATGTCTAAAGTACTAGAAGAATTCATGCTTATCCATAAGGACGTATATATGTTGGAAGCACCATGGCGACTTGACGAGCTGTGTGCTTCAAGAGCATCGATCGAGTTGGCTCTTTCAAGTGCCAACCACACCACTATGGATGCTGCATGATTAATATATTTGATGGCGTGTTAACACTTGTAGACACGTCATACTGCGGTCCCGTCAAGACGTTAGTGACTTGGTGGGCTTTGCATCAAAACTCTTAATGCTTAACGTCGCCTTGGACATGGACTACTAATAAGACATAAAAATAAGAAAATAACAATCATGATACCAGATTTGCAGTTTAAAAGCATTTCACTGATAGATGGGCTCAGCAAATGAAAAATTACGACAATCCTGATGAAGGGCCTGTTAATTTTTGGCTTATACATCAATTTCTTATTTGTTTCCCTTAGATGAATATTTGTTTGTAATAATGATCATAGGTTGTATTCATCAAAGGACGCAGAAAGCCAAAACCTTTCCATTCTCAATAGAAACACAAGGGGAATTAAGCCGTCAGGGAAATTCAGTTTTCCGGTTGCAGTTAGTAACTGGTAAAAAAAAAATCAGGCGGGCGATCTCCTAATAGCTAAACCTTTATTTTCCATGAGCTGTTTTCTTCATAGGCACAAGGTCACCACTAAAAAGTTTTAGTGTTAATCCACGCCGATGCAGCGAGGTAACTCTGAGTGTGACAAATCCACCATGTCGATATCATGGTGGATGTCTCACACATCTCCTTCAAGAATCTGCTCATTACACCGTGTCTACAAATTTTGGCTGGTTGGATATTCTGAAAACAACAGTGCCACAATGAAAACAGCTGCTGAATTCTTCATTTCTTCTCCAAAAAGGAGAATATTTGCACTGTTGCTAGTTGCTGCTGACCTGATTATAATTGCCCTGTTCGCTTGGCTGATAAGCCATGGCTGAAAGTACTGTTGACTGATTTGTTGTGAGAGAAAAATACTATTCGTTGACCGAAAAAATACGGCTTATAAACCAAACAAACAGGACGAATATTCGCAATCATGAGAATTTGCCCATCGACACACCGCGTCCGGCGTACAACCTGAAACAAATCATCCTCATCCACTTCATTTGCTACTAGCAGCTTTGCTAGCTGCCGGCCCCTGCATGCAAAGTGTATGCCCTACCTGATTCCCACTCCCACACATACGCACACAACAAACAGCCAGTTGGCCACGGAAGATGAGAAAGGAAGAAAAAGAAATATATATTCCCGTTTCCATTCACAAACTATTGAGCAGAAACAAAAAGGGAAGAAGCACAATCTTTTCCCAAGAAACAAAAGCCTTAGCAAAAGATCTGTTTCTCGATACGATATCAATATCGATAGCAAAAGATCTGAGCAAAATTACGGTCTCATCAGTCCCGTTCTTCAGTTCATCATTTCATTGCAAAAATTGACAACCCCACAAAATTATGCTTGGGTCGGGGTTCTCTTGGAGACGGTTTCCAGCGTCACAAAGCGCTCAGCTTAATTCTCTGAGCAAACCAAGACAAAAATGTTCTGCCCTGTTCTGGTCATCATCGATCATTCCACTCCACCGATCGAAAACCCCAAACAAACCTAAACTAAAATTCTTCAAAAAGTGAAGATCACACCTCAGGAATGTGGTGCTCCTCTCTTTCTCTCCGGCTCTCACTGTGCTCACCATTCTGCTCGGCATCCTTGACGCTGGCCATGGCGACTTCTTGCACCTTCTTGTTGTTCTCCTCCTCGTCACCCTTGCTGCTGCGGTCTCCAAAGGAGGACGCCCTGCTCGACATGGGCGTGGCCAGGTACGTCGGCTTCACATCCCCGGCCATGATCACCAGTATCTTCTCCTCCCATATCGGCGGCGGCAGGTCCGAGGCCGCTGGCTTGGCGCCGTCGGCGCCGGACCCGTCCTCGTCGCCCCGGCCAGCGCCGCCCTCCAGGTACCCGGAGAGCTTCCAGTAGGAGCACGCGAGGATGAGGAGCGCGAAGGCGATGAGGCCCAGCATCGCGGCCAGCCCGCCGAAGAGGTACGGCACCGGCGAGTGCCATGCGGAATGCGCGGCGGCGCTGCCGGCGACCGCTGGTGCGACCGCCGCCGCTGCCGTCGCATTGAACCCTGCTCCTGGCCTCATTGTTTCTGCTGTTCTTTCTTGTACGCTTCTCCGCTCCTCAGCTCGGAGCTTCTTGGCTTTTACTAGCTAGTTCTTGAGAGCTTTTGCACCTGCTCTGCTTTGCTGTAATGGTGTGTGTGTGTGTGTGTGAGACTGCAGCGCAACGGGTAGAGGGTTATTTATAAGGAGGGACAGGGCAAAAAAGAGGGAAATTTGTCACTGCTTGGGTGGATTTGCTAAAAGAAAAAAAAACATTATGAGGTCACTCAGCCACTTTCAGCAATGTTTATGCTACATGGTTTTAGCTTTTAGGGTTGTAAAATTGCATTAAGGACCTCGTCGAGATAGAATATTTGCATTTGGGACAACCGTGGGAGTTGGGCACGGGGGTGGCCATGCAAAACGGAAAGGAAACCTATATTATGCTCTATGTTTCTCCATGGGGTCACCTTTTGCTCCTTTTCTCAAATGTTTTGGGAGTATTCTAGCACTTGAGGACCATGGGGGATGCACTTATCCACAAGAATGGTGCATCTTCTTCAGCTTTGTTAATAAGTTTGCTACATTATAAGGGCATCGTTATGTGTTATATCGCACTGAGAAAAGCATAGAGAGCACCAACCTTAAATAATATGATTTTCATCTTGCTGGGTTAGGACTTGACACAATGATTATTTACAACAAAATACTTCCTACTTATCAATACATGTAACAGGTGTATGTTCATGCGTTGCGATCGTCATTTTCCAGTAAGGCTAGCACCCAGACACTTCCTACTTATCAGTATATGTAACAAGTGTAGTATGTTCATGCATTGCGATCACCATTTTTCGGTAAGTCTAGCACTCGATGTCCGGCCCCAGGCCCCAGGCCCCGCATTCGGACGCAGCTCCCATTCGACGCACCTGCCGCGCCCCATCTCGTCCCTGTGCGTCCACCGCGCCCGCTACGCCCGCGTCACCATGCCGTGATGGCTCCCGCACGACGACGATGGCATAGGCAAGCATGCTGTTGATTAGGAGTAGCAAGATGAGGAGGTGAAGGAATTTTTATCTAATAATTTTGAAATGAAAGATTTGGGAGAGGCTGATGTTATTCTTAATATCAAGCTTCTGAGAGAAGGTGATGATGGGTAACTCTATTATAATCCCACTATGTGGAAAATGTGCTGAGTCGCTTTGGGTTTAGTGACTGTGAACCTACTCCTACACCGTATGACCATAGTGTGCTATTGAGGGAAAATAGGGGAATAGCAATGGATTAATTGAGATATTCCCAGATCATTGGTTCACTCATGTATCTTGCTAGTGCAACAAGGCCTGACATCTCATTTGTTGTGTGCAAGCTGAGCCGGTTTGTGTCAAACCCGGAAGATGATCACTGGCGTGCTCTTGAAAAAGTGATGCGCTATCTAAAAGGCACTATGAGCTATGGTATTCATTATACCGGACACCCGAAGGTGCTGGAAGGCTATTGTGATGTCAACTGGATCTCTGATGCTGATGAGCTTCGTGCCATGAGTGGATATGTGTTTTCGCTTGGAGGTGGTGCTGTTTCCTGGAAGTCTTGCAAGTAGACTATCTTAACGAAGTCTACAGTAGAAGCAGAACTCACAGTATTAGATACCGCTGGCTCTGAGGCCAGGTGGCTTCGTGATCTCCTTATGGATTTACCGATTGTTGAAAAACTCATACCGACTATTTCTATGAACTGCGATAACCAGACTGTGATTATGAAGATTAACAGTTCTAAGGATAACATGAAGTCCACAAAGCATGTTAAGAGACGACTAAAATCTATCAAAAATTTGAGAAACTCCGAAGTAATAGCGTTGGACTATGTTCACACGTCTAACAATCTGGCAGATCAATTCACTAAGGGTTTGTCATGCAATGTGATAGAAAGTGCATCGAGAGAGATGGGTTTGAGACCCACATGAAATTTACTATAGTGGTAACCTGTTCTATGTGATCGGAGATCCCGTGAAATAGGATGGTAAAACGAGCTAGTAGTAAATTGTGAGGAAAGATCCTTAGTAAGACTCATTTCTGATGCATATCTTTCCTTTCTATAAGGCAGGTTAGTTTTTACCTTAATGTGTTCCAAGTGGCTTGCTAAAGCAAAGATGTTGTCTTACAGAACATCTTTTGAGGAACACACCTATATGAGTCAGACTGCTGGTCACAGCCTATGAAATTTGGGTGATCTCTAAATACTCATGAAAGGCATTGGAGTATGACTTATATGCTTTAAATAGAGGGGATGCCTTTTACAGCCTAGTATCAACTAAGGACTTTAGTGACATTCACCCCACACAAAACTATCAATTCAAGACTTAGTCCATTGTTCAGTTGTGACTGAGTGAAACTATTGGTCTAGATGGATGTTCAACTTAACAGTCTCCATCGAAACACTGGCATATAAAAGAAATGTGGTTCTGAGACTACTTTGTTACAAACCCTAGAGTTTGGTGGGGATTGTTGGATATATTATGGGCTTGGCCCATATAATATTTAATAAATCAAATAAAACTCTATGGTCCGTGTAACATTAAGTGTTGTATGGTTTAATACCGTTTAGATTTTGACCTAACGTTGACTCAACTTATTTGGTTGGAAATTATTCATCTTAATTGAGAAGTCGAGAAAAGGACACAGAGCGCCACCATACGCTGCTGCCATGCCGCCATCGCCGGGTGGGGGCCAGCAGCAGGCAAAGCAAGCGAGACGGGCAAGGCGTGGCGTGTGATTTTGCCACTTAATCCACAAAATTATGGGAGTTTCTCTCTTTTATGGTGGAGGCGAAGTTAATTGCGCCATGCCACTGCCTCTCTTCGTGTTTCCGCTCCTCGAGTTCCTCGGTGGCTTTCTCCCTCCCGCCGTAGGCATAAAAGTAGAAGTCCTCCGTCACCCAATCTCCCTTCGCCTCGAGAGACCACATCTCACCCCCTTTGATTTTCCCTCGTCCTGCACTCTCTCGCACACACGGAGCAACGGGAGAGCAGTGCCTCCAGAACCCTCGTCCGCCGCGAACCTTGCGCGGGGTGTGCGGTGATTAGGTTTTTGGGAGCGATTCCACGATCGCTTCGTTCACATCACAGACGCCTTCTTCCCGGTGATCGCCGTGGAATAGCTAGGTGTTTTCTTCCCGGTGACCGCTTCGTGGATCGCACCAGAACACCTTCCGCGCATCGATCGTGGTCCACGACTTGAGCAACGCATTATATCTCGGTGTGAATGGAGCCTCCGATGCCCGCGCATGGGACCCTCCGCTAGGTACACTCTTAACTTTCTCTACATCTTTGTTTTGCATTTCTTCAGATCGATCGGTATATCATACTTGCATGTCAGTAAGCGTTTGTTAGTGATATACACATATATATATATGTCGTCGCGAACTTGCTGATATTTTATTTCCGGATTAAATTGACCATAAAAATACCTAATTATCTAACAGATTCGCATTGTGCTGGGATCATATGCCTTTAAGGGCACACTTAACTTTACTCTTACCATACAGGTAGTACAAACTTAAACAAAAAAATTGTAGAATTTTTGTCGCCGAAACCCAACTGGTAAGTTCCTATTTGGATCACGTACATGAACTCCGCGCATGCATAAAAGTTTCACAGAGATAGAACGTAACAGCCAAAATTCCTGCAACAACGAATCTGATTTTTACGTGATCCATATATACCGGCTCCAAATGGGGATAAAGTTTTTGTGTGAGTCAACCAAAGGACCATCATCATACCTAATAAAGGCCTAGATTTACAGTGTAGTAGGAGTAATTTGTGCGCCCGGCATATCCGGTGCATATGCCATTGGCGGCAAAACGACAAGAACTAGTGCCCCAGGTGAACCAACCCTGGCGCCCGGACCCAGCGCACGCCCCCGACGATCCAACCATAGCAGCTGGTGCGTCGTGCGGGGCCTCGATGAAATTTTAGGGCAAAATTCTATAACATAGATGTTGTTGAGATTTAAAATTAAATAGCAGTCGGAGGTCCCTCTAAATTTTTTCTCGGATCCTGTGCGCAGGTGCACCTACTACCGACGGACCGTGTACGTGTGTGCGTGGCAGAAACAACCATCCGTGTCCTTCGCCGCGCGCGCCCCGATCGAGCAACAAACCAGCGCGCACGGGCGGCAGCGGGTTTGGTTGGGTTGGACCGGACCGATCGAAGGACGACGCGGCTCCACTTGGTACACGATCGATCGATGGTGCGCGGCACGAGTGCGCGCGGCGTCGCGTCGGATGGACGCCGGGGCAATCGCGCGCGAATATTATTTCGTGTCAGCCGCTCCCGTCCGAGCTTGGACCTCGTCCGGGGCGCCCCCGCCCGGTGGTGCTTCGTCTGCTTCCTCACGGCGACCGCCGCACAGCGCGCCGTGCTGGCTGTCGGGCCCCACGGCGGTTCGCCATTCCGGCGCGCCGGGTCTAATCGGTCCGGTCGCGTCCAGGGGATTCCCTGCCGCGGAGCCGGATCTCCGCGTCCGCGAGCGCGGGCTAGGCATCTCGGCCTGGGCACGCACGGCAGCAGCAGTACAAGGTAATTAATGGACGTCCATCGCTCGATCACATCCCCGCCCTGGTAGTCGTGACATGTACTAACGTTGTATGAGAGTATACATCTCTGTGCTCTGGTCACACGATTGGTTTTGGAGTGGGTAATCTGATCCGTATCTTTTGGCAACGTACGTACCGCGCATTATCATTATCGTCGCCATGTTTCACACGGCGATTGGTTTAACTCTGGCCATTATCTTTTGATGAAAGTTAAACTCTGGTCACTAGTCCGGTAACAAACATTTTCTGTCCTGGTGGGCGTTCACTGATAGCGTACTTAAGTCGTACTAATAGACTTCCGATGTCATCAGCTGCTGGTGCCTGCTTTCCTGCACTGACTGCCACCACCTGCTAACACTACCTCTCAAGTTCTCTGTACAAACTTATCTGTTACAACCCTGGACTTCTCGTACATGCGGCCAGCTCTTCGAAACGGAGGAGGACTGCGAATG